ATAGTGCCTTGATGTTCATTATTTGTTTACTGAATACTTTAAAGTTTACATTGACCCTAACTGCTACTTGGGTCACCTCATTTTAGCCTATTGCTAATTTGGGGTTACATTCCTCAGAAACACTCTTCCAAATCTTCTCTAGTTTGGGAACCCAAATCCCAACTCCATCTCTGTGTCTCCCCTTCAGCTTGTTAGATAAGTCCTCTTACTTACTGACCTGAGAGCCACTTGTTGGACCTTATTTATTGTCTTCACTTATAGAATTTATCAGGCTTTAGCCATTTTTCTTCCCACTTTACTTGGAAGAGGAAATGTCCCTAATTCTCTCCAAAGCTAATACCTTCCCTTTATTATTAATAGAAGTATTAGAGATTATGCTGGCCTCTTTATCTTCTGCCTTTGCTTCTGGAACCTATAATCCATCTCCCTTATACAGTAGTCACTCCCTTTCCAACAAATATACAGCTGATCTACAAAATTGGAATAGAAACCCACTTCTGTCTTGGAACTTAAAATGTTGTCTTTTGTCTTTATTTTTTTCTAGTTAAAGATCTCTCAAAAGGGTTCTCTTCTATTTATGACCATTCCTATTTTCTTGCCATACCAACTGCTTAACACCTTGAGTTTGAGACTGGGCTTACAAACTCCTGGACTGTTGTAACTATTTTTTTTCCTGCATTTGTAGGCCTTTTCCATAGTCCTCATTTCTTCAGGTATTAATCTAACAAATACTGCAATGATTAAAACAGACAAAAGCCCTGCCCTTTTGAATTTTATGTTCTAAAAAAAGAAACAGCTATTAAATGTTATAAGGGTTGATGTAGGTTTATGGTTTGTGTGGGGTGTGTGTGTATTTACTAGTAAGTATAAGGAGAACAATAAAGCAGAGAAGGAGAATAGACAGTTTTAGAGTGGAGAGGTTTGCTATTTTAGATAGTGATGAGGGAACTTTCAATTAGGAGATGGTTTTTAAGTAAAGGTGTGGAGGAGATGGGGGGGAGTGAGTCATCTAGCTGTCTGGGGGAAGGACGTTCTAAGCAGAGAGAAGAGTAAATGCAAAATTCCCAAGGTAGGAGCGTGCCTGATGTTTTTGAAAACCAGTGAGGTGGATAATTCTCATCTTTCTTGAGTTCACAATGGCATTTGACATTCTTTAATCCCCTCTGTTTTAGAAGTGTTCTTTTTTCATTGCCTTTGAGACTAGTATTCTGAAGGGAATGACCTGGTCTGATTTTTGCCTTGTCCATCTCTTTCACTGATTTCTTCTCTCCTTTGTGCTTACTTTAAAAAGTTTTTTACCCTAGGGATCTTTCATTGGTACTTTTTTCCCCTCCATCCACTGTGTATTGCCAAATTACATTCTTTGACTGTGTTTCTGACTGTTTATCAGACATCTGAACTTATGCGTCACTAATGGACCAAAATTTCAACATGTTTGACATCTAAATAGTTTGTTGCACTTCCTTCCCCTCTCCCCAAAAGCCCTAATTCTCACTTCCTTTTCTATATTTCCTATATCCATTTTTGGCTTAACTACTGAAATTTTGGCCCACTTTAGAGAACCCAGTCATCTGTGACTGTTATTCCTCACCCTCCACTCCTCATTGGTCATCTTATCAACCTCTTTCTCTAGCCTCTGTGCTCTAATGTTCTTCAGCCACACCCATGCCATGATAAGCATACTTCAAACTTCCTTGTCTTTGTGCACACCATACCTTGTGTCTAGAATGCTCTTCTCACCCTTCAGGAGCAAGCTCAAATGTCACCTCTATGTAGTGGTTTCTCACGGTCCCTAATCAAGTTAATTGTGTCTTCCATTGTGTACATACCCCTTCTAAGCCCCACACTGTGATATAATGATGAGTAGCATATGAGATTGTAAGCTCCTTGAAGGCTGCAGCTAAATTGTATTAGTGCACATAATGCATGCCTATATTTCCCTGCATTGGGCACATGGCAAAGAGAGTAGATAGATGAATGAATTTGGTCTAAGGGTACTGCATTACAACATACTGAACATGAAGGAAAAAAATTAAAAATTCATATGATGCATATGCCTTCATCAGTAGCATTCATATATGCAGAATATCAGCATCTTTCAGGGCAACTGGGATTAATATTTTGTTAGTGTTTGCTTGAATCCTGAGTGCTTTCATTCTGCTCACTCGTTGGAATGATGGCAGTCTTGTTGGCAAGTAGACATAGGCCCCACCTAACGAGGGCCTGTAGCAGGCTGAACTTGCTGTTGTCTAGGCTGAGGTCAAAGAACAGCTGCTTTAGATTAAACATAAAATTTTAATTATGTAGATACATAATTTATTGTAGGTGTTTACTTTGAATGGTGGTGTTCTTTTCTACTAGTTTTTGTTTCTAAATTCAGAAATGTTTTTTCCTTGTTGAAGATATTTTAATTACTGGTATAATTTTCTCATTATAGCAACTGAGACATTTAAGGAAACTAAAAACTCTCTTTAATAAATTTATGATATAAGGAATCTGGAACAGCAAAGAAGCTGACAATTGAGGGGAAGGAGAAACAAGTGATTTTTTTTTTTTAATTATATAACTTTGGGAGGTTGAGGTGGAAGGATCACTTGAGGCCAGGAGTTCAAGACCAGCCT